CGGCTCCTTTCTTTTGAATTTCTCCACAAACTGCAGGGACCACAAAAGAGGAGACGTGTTACAACAAAAGACCATGCGCGCAAAGTGCAGCTATCACATCAAGAGGTTTGACTCGGGCCTCCGCACAGAGCCCAACAGAATTCTGGACTTCGTGACCAGCAGCTCCAGTTGCTGGTTCTCTGTGAGATCTCCCGGACGAAGTGCAAGGTTCTGCGCAAACTGGCGCGCTAAATTCATCCAAGCTGGACATGAGACTAGATGAGAACGCCTGCCCACACAAACTTGAGGTGAGAGAAAACACCTGGCCTTGCTGGTACAATTGAAAGCTCGCCAAATGACCCGGAGTTCAGGCTTGGATGGAGTTCTGAATGTGAAAGGGGGAACAACAAGATCACCTTGAGGAACCATGCATTGCCCTTCCTTATGGACAGAGTGGCGCAAAGCACACACCCTTTACACCGCACATGCACTCAAATGCTGACACCTATAATGAAACCTCCACGCTTACCAGACAAGATTCACAAGATCTTCGCCCGTTTTCAAGAAGTCACCGCTGAGGATGGGCTGAGCAGGTTCATCTCCCAGCCCAGGGATTGCGGCCTCCTCTCGCATTGAACAAAGTCCGATTTCACTAGATAAGAAAATGTGCAAAACTCCATTAACTGCCGGCGAGATTTAAGCATGGATGGGAAAGGAAATTGATTTGACATGGTTGGTTCGCTTCGCACGTGAATACAGTCTTTGGGCACGAACCGATGATAGGAAGGGTCCTTGTGTTCTGGGTCCATGTCCTCATATAGTTTCTCCCCCGATCTCTTGCAAAGATGCAACGTAGCCAATATCAAAGTCATCCGCTGACATATCTGACGCGTCAGACATCAGCCGGCCTAGGACCTATACTTCACCTATTTGCAGTTCCTGCTTTGAGGCGAGGGCGCACAATGCAGTTGGTTGCAAAGAAAGGCAACTTGATTGAAAACACTCTTTGGAGCAACCCTGAGACAAACTATAGTAGAGGTTTGAGAGCTAGGTTGTTTGTGGAACCCTTTGCAGCTAAGAGTCGCTGCAGCAACTGAAGCGACTGATTTGTTGCCCAATGGACGTAGAGCACTGCGGCCGCTAGTGCCACTTAGTTCGGGCCGCTCTTTTGAGGTTTCTTTTGCAACCATTTGCATACATGAGGTTGCTGGATACACACTTTTTTGTTGACACCTTGGATTTCGAGTTGTTTTTTGTTTACCCCACTCATCCAAGACTCCGGTTCAACCAGATCCAGCTCGAGCAAACTGGCGCGTAAAATGCCAGGCCAGCCTGAGCGTGGGTTAGATCAACGCTTGATGGAAGGCCCATGGGACTGAGCAGAGCTTGGAGTGAGCATTCCATGGTGGACACCGCACTTATTTGTTCAACAAATGCTCCAAAGCCTTGCCATGAGATATCTAGTGCCATATTTAAGGAATATAGTTGCCACCGTTTTTCCTCCAAGTGTTTTCTAACCAAGCCACTTGGCCATAGAGGCGACAGCACATGGACAAATGGAAGACAAATCCAAGAGGGTTCAACATATCCTGCGAGGTCACTGGGATCTGCCTATCTCATGGGACGGTGGGAATCCTTGAGGGTGTGAAGCTGGCAAAGTCTATTTACAGTTAAAAAACAGTGAAAGGTGCATGACCGAGTAGGATTCCAGCAGTCCTGCATAAATACATCGTCCTGAATCTCGAAGGTGGCTGCAGGACATCCGAAGTGCCTCTGGAGCTTCGAGACAAACAACTATATTTATATAAAACTAAGACCATTGTTGAACACGCTTTGCCATAACTCATCCATTATTGAGTTTCGAGATGCACAAATAGAAACATTGCTGAGCGTGTTTTGCCACAACCCAATCTTGAGGCTGGCGCTGGAAGCCACGAGCTACTGTCTTGATTCCTGCAAAGTATTCCACACATGCCAAATCCTTAGACCACAAGTGAGTCTTGAACCCCCGAAACAGACACCCTCCCACGAAAAGCTGAGAGAACCTGCAAGAGTGTTTCTTTAAAGAATCAAAGGTACCATTCCAGGGTTTGTCATGTGAGCCATAGTCATCTCCATGAGCGAGAGGATCACAAAGGGAAGTCCAGCCATGACCATGAGGTTCAACCTTAAGAGCACAAATACTTTTGGTTTCCATCCCATCCTTAGACCCTATAGTACTCCAAACCTCAAGCATGAACTTCAATCTTGCGTGCGGTCTGGCCATAGAAAGCTTGGAGTGCAGTTTGCGTCGTGGCTGGAAAGGAACGTGCACCAAGGGAGGTCGCTCGTCTCGAGGCACATGAGGAACCCTGTCCTTTCTGTGTTTCTTCCGGTCTTGGTTCCTCCGTTTCTCCGCTTTGGTCAAAACAGTCTTTTTGACCTTCGTATCGACCATGGCCACGGTGTCGGATCACAGGTCAGGTTGAAAAGCTCACACACAAACCCGCAATGAGGTCACACGAAAGTCATTCACTGTAAATATACATATAAATACATAACTAATTATAAATATGCATGGTTATTGTTTATTGTGTGAAATGCACGTATTCTTTTATGCGCATGCTTGCTGCTGCAATGTGATGTGCACATGCCACGCAAACTCCGGGAGCCAACCTGACACACTACGTTGACAAACGCATGCTGCCAAACATGCTGCGCTCAAGATTGCGTGGCTATCCACACAACTGCAGCTTTGCCGAAAGAGAGTGCACGCTGCGAAGGATCGATGGAGGGGTCGCACCTCTGACTTCGTTCCTCGTGGAGAAGGAGCGCCATCCATTGTGGCGCAAATGGTCGCGGAGCGGTAACAAAAATCAACGTGCGTGAACCTTTGCGGGGATGCCATCGAACACATGCCCAAGGGATCCCATGTGCAAAGCTGTGTGACAACGAGTCCTTTTATTGACTGACCAAAAACAGGCTACCCTCAAATGCGCTAGCTGTGACCCCAACATGCTTTGTCATGACTGTCGGGCACATGCATGTACAAATGTCTGGTCAAGAGCCTGGCCTGCCCTGACTGGGCAGATCGACTGCTGAGGGTGTTCATGCACCGTTCAGTGCCTTCCTTGCGCAGATATTCCAAAGAACATCTGCCGAAAAGAACTTTCCAGATTCCAAATGCGATACGAACACGAACACCGAACACAAAAAGCGAAAGCAGACCTGCCAAAAAACAGTCGAAGTCATCTTAAGTGTTGTGTGGTACTATGCAAAAACAGCAAAAACATGAGAAACTTCGAGTGATACCACCTGAATTATTGATCTTCGAGTGATCCCACCGCGGGCTTCTATAATCTTAGAACATAACATCCACCTATATAGGCTAAGAATTCACACTTTCACGCTTTTCATGGCTTCTCTCTCTGTCGTGCAACATGAATGTGTCGTGTAGCTGCAAACATGGCTAGCAAACAACTTTATGCTTGAAGTTGCCAATTTGACAACTCCAAGGTTCACCAGGTGCTGCGCGTTGAAAAAGTGCGCCTGCGCGCCGCGCGTACCGAGTGCGGATGTCTAATTTTCCAAAAAACTAACTACTTAGCACCTACTTATAAATTACTTATAACTTACTTATCCTACTTTTTAATTGTTTGTAACTAACTTATATGTAGAAGTTATAACTTCCTAACATGTAGGGTAACTTAGATATATCTTCGATAACTCATTTCCAGTCATCTAGTATCTCTCCTCACGCGGGCCGGGCCGTCGGCCCTGGCTGGTCTCCTCATCTTCGGTGCCATTTCCCCTTTCCTTTGCCTTTGGGAGCTCGTCCCTTGCTGGTGTAACCCAGGGCCTGGCCCCGTATGATGCGCTTGACTCCTTTTTCCACTTCTTTGTACCCTCCTGCTGTCGTCCACGATGCCCAGGTGGTGACCTTGATGGTGTTCGAGGCCTCCGAGGTAGGGGTTTCCGGGCGGATGGCTTTGGTGGAACCTTCCTGAGTCTTGCACCCTCCGGGTCTCTAGCGACCTCGGTGTTCGGGCTGACTTCGTCGTGATGAGATTCGTCTTCGTGCTCCTCCTCGTTCTCTTCTTGCTCAACCTCTTCTCCGTCTATGGCTTCCTCGCCACTCCCTTCGGGCTCTGTTCAGACCTCCTCTTCGGCCACACAGCTCGCTTCTTCCTTTCTCTGCTTGCGCTCTCGCCTACGGCTTCTGCTCCTCGATCTCCCTTTGTCTTCGCGCCTCCTTCGTCGGTGCTTTGATGACTTTCCTCAGGTTCCTTTCTTTCCTTCTTTACTCCTCCTGAAGCCGCCTGCGGATGCTTTTCACCCGTCTGTACCCCCGCTGCCAGCCTTGGAGGTAGCTTTGTCTTGCCCTCCTTCTTCTCCAACACCAGGTACCTTTTCGGGTCGACCAACCCCGACGTCCGATCAGATTCGAAAGACTCCGAATCCGATTCCAGGGTGTTGAGGACCTTCGCCAAGTAGTGGGTCAATTCCTTGCCGGCGGGTACCTGGTGAACACCACCCGCTCAATGCGAGTGGCCAAATAGCACGGGTTGCAGAACCCCGAGGTCCCAGTGGGCAGTTCCAACCTGCTATGGCAACCTTTGCAGGTCATCAACAGCTGAGAGCCAAACGCTACGGAACCAAAGGTTGTGACCCGTCTTTATCCCCGGGGGCGGGGTACCATATACATTCTGCGAGATGGACGGAGTGCACACAGTGACGTGAACTAGTTGGGAGGTTTGGAGACTACGCCTTCAAGAACCACGTGCTCGAGGACAAATAACTTGCATCATCATGCCATGCCAATGGCAAGACTTGGTTCAGTCAGCCCTATGAATGACCTGGAACGCTAGAATTAGAAAGGCCCTGACTACTGGAATCGTATACAACTTGCTTGGGTAGTGCTGTCCAGATTTGAGAATCGATCTCAAAACTGTGAATGACAAGTGGTTGATTGATCAGGATCATTCCCCGCATTCCTTCCAGGTCACCAGGTCGTTGACCCCAGGACCGCACTTGGGCCCAGCCTGGCTGGCACCAGCTTCCTCAATCGCCCGCATGTCCACCGGCTTCGGCTCATGGCGGCTCTCATACTCGACCACGAACCTCACAGGGCTCGCTAGGCACACGGGAAAAAGGAAGATGAAGGCAACGGTACCTGGTAAAGAAGATGTCCAAGTGGATTGTATGGGTTCTATAGGGTTTAACATGGTTTAACTTCAAAATCAAAATTCAGCGGTCAAAATCCAACACCCAACAAACCTGGGGTCTATACTCACAGGTTGGAGACTACGCACTGACACCCTAGATGAAAACAGGTTGGTCTGGTCTGGCGCCGTCAATGGGAGCAACATCGAGCAATTGCGTAGGATGGCAATCCTATCGTGCTGCAGCATGATGTTTCTTAGCAGCACAAGCTGCCATGAAGCAAATTTTTGCGGGTTTTGAAGAAACCCGCAGAAACCATCTCAATCTCAGTTAACCTTGCTGAAATGCTGAATCCAATGTATCTCTGGTGAGCCAAGAAGCTGCGAGTCTCCAAATGGCCGATGCCCACAGAGACACTCGTAAGCCACCTGACCGATCTGCAATGGACGATCTGCGCGATACGCCCAAACGATGCCAGGTGTTGAGTTTTCGGGTCAAGGGGCAATGCCAAGAGCCCAAACGTCCACCTTTGGAGTGATGTTGTTGTCGTAGACCTGGCCGAGTGGATGTGCACTTCCCTCAGGCGAGGTTTGGCCGGCTTGGCAATTTCGTTCGTCGCTTTCACCAGTCCGACTGGTCAGCCCCACATGGACGGAGATTTCAACCTAGAACGTGCCTCCGGTGCCATGTAGGCATAGGTCCCCGTGGGGCCCCGCGACCTCGGTGCCAAAAACGCGCAAGGAAAGACTGGAGGCCGAGGTTGGTGACAAAAGCTAGCAGGGCGGGGGTGAAGCGGGTGACAGTTGGCCCCGTGACAGCGGAAATGCTCACGTCCCAGCGACGTCAGGGAGGAGTTGAACCCGCGGCGGGGGGGCCCTACATATGGGGGTTGTTCAAAAGTCCTTTCATTTTTTCCAGGCCTTTCGCAGGACCATCGCGAGCTTTCGCAAGCTTTCGCGCGTGGGGTTTTACCACTGTCGGCGAAAATGGTTTTTCGTTGGGGCTAGAGGCTTTCAAGGATTCACGCAGTTGCCCTGGCACGTCTTGCGTCCTCTGATCACTGACACATTGGTTGCTGAGGAACAGGAAGCCAGCCAACCAAGCCATGTTCATTTTGGTGTGTTTTTGGTTGGGCGCAACCCTCCATGAACAAGAGACGGCTCAGGCCAGTTTGCTCAGACTTCCAATGTGCTTTTTCCCGGACCGGGAAAAAGCAGAATGGTTCAGACTTTCAATTTGCTTTGGGCGGGGAAAACCAAAATGGTTCAGACTTCCAATTTGCTTTTTCCCGGGCTGGCAAAAAGCAAAATGGTCAAGACTTCCAATTTGCTTTTTCCCGGGCCTGGGAAAAGCAAAAGGCTCAGACTCAGACTTCCAATTTGATTTTTCCCGGGCCGGCAAACAGCCAAATGGTTCAGACTTCCAATTTGCTTTTTCCCGGGCCGGGAAAAAGCAAAAGGCTCAGACTTCCAATTTGCTTTTTCCCGGGCCGGCAAAAAGCAACATGGTCCAGACTTCCAAATTGCTTTTTCCCGGGCCTGGAAAAAGCACAAGGCTCAGACTTCCAATTTGCTTTTTCCCGGGCCGGGAAAAAGCAAAATAGTTCAGACTTCCAATTTGCTTTTTCCCGGGCCGGGAAAAAGCAAAACTGTCCAGACTTCCAATCTGCTTTTTCCCGGGCCGAAAAAAAGCAAAATGGTTCAGACTTCCAATTTGCTTTTTCCTGGGCCGGGAAAAAAAGCAAAATGGCTCATCCAATTTGCTTTTTCAATTTGCTTTTTCCCGGGCCGGGAAAAAGCAAAGTGGTCCAGACTTCCTATTAAGAAGCAAAAGGCTCAGACTTCCAGTTTGCTTTTTCCCGGGCCAGCAAAAAGCAAAATGGTCCAGACTTCCAATTTGCTTTTTTTCCCGGGCCTGGAAAAAGCAAAAGGCTCAGACTTCCAATTTGCTGGCTGGGAAAAAGCAATTTGGCTCACAGATTCCCAGTGGCTTTCTCCAGTCTGGGAGAAATATAGTGACGGACTGAAACTTAGAATGCGGCGCACTACGTTTAACCAAAAATCGTCGCCAGTTAGAATGTGGGTCCGGGAGGCATTACAGGAAAGGACAGTTAGAATAAGCGTTAATGCGTGCAAACTAACAAAACCATGTGAAATCAAAGCATCGCGCTCTTTTTTCCCCTGGCGTTCTTTAGGTCTTTGGCTACTACAGGGCTACTTTTGCCACATGCATGTATTGCAATGCGGCTCTAGACAACAAAAGGCTGACGTGATCAGGAAACACAACTAACAGCGTTGAAGCTGTAGCCTTCACGGCTGTTCTTTTCAAGCACTGAATATATTTATATAAATACACATATACAAATGTGCAAGTGTATAGTTGGCTGGATATGTTTTTTGCTACCCCGCATCCATAGGTGATCAAATTCTGCTATATACCATGTTTAGCCTTTCACCTTCAGCTTTACAAGTCCGGAAGGTCTCAATGGACGCGCGTCTTGAAGAACATGCAACACCAAAAAATAGTTTTGAACACTCATCAGAGTTTATATGGCTGTATGTATGTGTACATAAACGAATAAATATGTAGATATACTTATATAGCTCAACAGTTGTCAAAACATCCCGCATCCGTAGGCTGTTTGCCCTCAGGCCCATGCAGATAGAATGCCTTCCGTCTTCAGCTCTACAAGTCAGCCGCCGAAGCTTCCAACTCTGGAATCCCGGCTGAAGCACAAGGGACACGCATGCTGAAACACAGGACGCCAACAAACACAACCGCTTTGAGGGCTCAAAAAAGCGTATGTATGTGTGTGTATGCATACATGTACAAAAGTGTGTTCAACTTCCGCATCCATAGGCAGTCAAATTCTGCCCTCAGGTCCATGCACTTGGAACGCCTTCCGCCTTCAACTCTACAAGTCAGCCACCGAAGATTCCAACTCTTGGATCTTCTTCAACTGAAGCTGCCACAAAACATCCCTGGGGTATGCTTCCACATACCGCATGATCAAGCGTTTCAGCACCATGAGTAATGCTTCTGGCTCAGATCTCTTTGTGCTTCCACCGAAGCTAAAGCATAGCCCCTGGCTGGTGCCATCCCAATACCCTTGCCAGGTTCGACTGGTATGATGATAGCCCAAATGCGCTCTGGATGGTGGCAAGGTTGTGACACCACGTGCTTGTAGCCTCAAAAATGCATCTCGTTCAAAGGACTTGACTCTGGTGCAAGCTCGCGAAGCCATCTTTTGTAAGATATCCTCTTCATCCGAGAAGCCCATAATCATTTCCCGATCACTGCATTCAGCCTCAAGTGCGCGCAGAGCTTCTTGCTCTTGTTGTTCTGCATCAATCTCCTCCTCCTCCTCATTCTGCACATCTTGGTCACCCTGAGCCTGCAGCTGTGGATCATGAAGAGACTCTTGAACAGATGCGGCCACCCCCTGATCCAGAAAGACGGGTAGGTCATCATGCTCGACGGGTTCTCCTCGCAAGTAGACCGAACGCTTTTGCTCTCCATTTCCTGCCTTTAGGCTGAGTTCTGCTGGGTTGTCTGACATCAGGAGCTGAATGGAAAACAAATCATGCCTTGCCCTGGGGAGCTCTTCATGTCCAAGTCTCCGCACTATGTTCTGTGTTTTCTTGGAAAAGAGCATCTTCTGCTCTTTTGACTCTGCGAGCCAATGATCAAACTTCTTCTGCATCGCTGGCGTCAGTCCTTTTGTCTGCGCAGCTCGTGCCTGAATTTTCCTTGCCCAGGCCTGATTCTCATGGCCCCAAGTTGAGACCTTTCTGATTTCTGCCAATGTGAAGAGAAATCCACTCTGGTAGGGGTTGACGACTGCTGATGTCATCCCCGGTCTGGATAGCCCAAACCACCAGACGCTCGCTCACCATAGGCACACTGCGCATGGCACTAATCTCTTCAAGCTTTTTTGGATCTGTTCCAAGGTCTGGAGATTCTGTCAACTCCAGAAGTGCCTGCACGCTGCCACGATTCCGCTTCAAAAGCTTGTCCAATTCAGCCTCGTTTCCTGAAAAAGTGCAGGATTTGGTTGCCAACCGAGAATCTTCACACCTATCGAAACCCATATTCTAGAAAGCCAATTGGGCAAAACACACTTCTGGACCGTTTCGAGCAGCCCTGAAAACGCCACTTGGCTATGTCTGACTTTGCGATGAAGCCACGTGACATCCATGCCAGCCACACAAGCTTTCCTGACCTTAGCCAAGAATATGACCCACATTCTAACTGCTTGGGCATTTTATGTTTGTTTGCAGTGTGCTTTGTTTTTCTGTCTGTGTGTTCGTTGGTGTGTGGGGTTTGACCCTGTAAATCAATACATAAAGTAGCCCGAGCCACTCAAAAGAGCTCAAATTCTTTAGGGCATAAGCATCAGCCTGGACTGCCGTCATGATGGACAACCTGACAACGCAAGGACATTCTAACTGCACAAGAAAACCGCCAAGTCAGAGAAACAACAAATCAATGGAATGAGGCAAATAAATGATAAATATATATATGCTATATATTAAGAAATGTATGTTCTTATACGGTGACAAAAGGATACGGGGAGGAGACGTGGACAACAGGATGCGGGGACAAAAGGGATACTAGGACAAAAGGACACGGGGACAAAAGGGATACGGAGACAAAAGGACACGGGGATAAAAGGGATACGGGGACAAAAGCACACGGGGACAAAAGGAATACGTGACAAAAGGATACGGTGGCGAAAGGACACGGGGACCAAAGGGATACGTGACAAAGGGGATACAGGGCCAAAAGGACACGGGGACAAAAGGGATACGACGAGATATATAGGGATATATACTTATAGCGATATATATATATATATGTTTTGTCATGAAATCTATATATATAATCTGGAAAGATCTTCAGAGGGTCAACACCGAGTTGGACACATTCTATAAATCTGTTGCTGCTGGTGTATGGCTTTATCCATCCAATTATATATATACATCTGCCGAGTTGCTTGTGCATACCGCTGCCTTGCACTGTAAGTTGCATCTCATCCAATTGCTTGCGTAGATCGACCTGGTTGGACCAGTCCAGAGCCAAGTTTGCATATGCCTTCACCAGCGCGTGAATGCGCTGATGAAATCCATCATGGGGAGCCCCTGCTGCCCCCCACCCCCCTGGGATGGGGCAGGCAGGGGAATCAGAGCTGAGGTTTTTGTTGGATACACCATGTTTCTCATTACAGGCCATGTGATTCAACGGAGCAGGTACCAATAGAAGAAAACATCCCGCGTTCGAACTCCAGGATTGTTGTATGAATGTGGGTTGAGTCATTCGGGAACATTGTTGGCCATACGGTTTGATTGATCCCGAATTGTAACCTATATATGTATATATAATGAGCGCATCCAAAAGGCTGCATTGCGTTGAAGCTGTCATTCTTCCTTCAGCTGCTGAAACCGTTTGGCCGTATGTTGTGTGGCATGGTCACATATTATGAGCGCTCGGGCAGAGTGAGGTAAGTTGAGCTTCCTCCTGCGCTCTCTCAATTCTTCACCCAAGAAGCTCAGGTATGAGACCATGGTGTCCGCAGACCAGATGTGTGTGCGAGACTGTAAAGGTCCAATGTGAAGCCATTCCCCAAGTTCCTGGAAGATAGAGCACCAGAATACCGAAACAATATATGTTACACACATTGAAACTTTCCAATCGGTGACACTTTATGTGATTTGTTTTTGTTTCTTTTTTGGAACAGGGTGTGCACCGCATTCTAAGTTCCAGCCCGTTGCTAAGTAATGCGCGCATAGGATTAAGTGACCCCCCCTATTAATCAATCCCAGCTCGACCCCCCCCAATAACAACTGATTTAACACCTAGATTTCCACCTTGTCATCACCCTAATATATAATTTTTGTCCTAGGCAGAAACCTACCCCTATTAATCAATCCCAGCTGCCCCAGAAAATGTAGTTTACTATTGTATTTATGTTCTTTTCTATTTTCTTTTTTGCTAGTATTCAATATCTTCATCTCCTCATCTTCCTGATTCTCACCACCACCTCTCAACTGCCTAAGCAAATTCATCTCAATCATTCCAAATACTAATTGTCTTGCATCTCAATTCTTCCAAATACTAATTCCCTTTCACCCCAACTCTTCCAAATACTAATCCCCTTTCATCTCAATCATCTCAATTCTTCCAAATTCTAATTCTCTTTCATCCCAACTCTTCCAAATACTAATTCCCTTTCATCTCAATCATCTCAATTCTTCCAAATTCTAACTCCCTTTCATCCCAACTCTTTCCAAATTCTAATTCCCTTTCAGCCCAATTCTTCCAAATACTAATTCCCTTTCATTCCATTTCTTCCAAATCAAATTCCCCTTCATCATCAGGTCATCAGCTTTATTAGGGGGATGTGATCTCCAAAACCTCCAATCTCAAACCGTGTTGACTTTGAAGGGGGGGCGTTGATTATATAATCCTACGTCGACACTACCTCAACAGGAAACAAACATCGCGTGACATAGCAGAGCATTCTAAGTGTGTAGCACTTCTTTGCCCGGCCTGGTTCATTGTGGCCCGTTGCGCTTCTGTGATTGTATCATCCCTGCACGTCACAAATCCTCTTCCTAGCGATCCGTCTGTCCAAGACAAAGTACAGAGTGTTCTCGGGATTCGCCATCCCTCAACAACTGTGCAAGCAGCACGGCCACCGGTGACATCTGTATGGAAAGCATCTTTGTGGGCCGTCTGGCCTGGGAGCTCCTCAGTGAAGGGCTTGTCCAGGCAACGCTCTATCACATGGCGGATTTTCCGCCATGCGAGGCTCCGCGACAATTCCTCCACCTCAGCATTCTTCCGTTGCAAGGTGGATTGTCCTGGACGGAAGAGCACCGCCCAAACCTGATCGAAGTTTCCGACAAGGCGCTCATGGTAAGTCCCAGCTTGGGTTTGATATCTCACCCAATTGTAAACATGCTGAAGGGATGGATGATCAGCGCTCAAATGCTTCCCCGGCTTCGGGTTTGCCACTGGACCAATACCGGCTCGTGAGCACAGTCTTTGTGCAAATTTCCTCACTATGTGGGGAATATATCTATAGCTGAAGAAACAGAATCAATGTATATATATAGTAAGTTTCTATCAGATAGAATATGAAGTAATTCGGGCTGTTGAATTAGTCTATATTCTAACTGCATTGGCAAAAAAGTCATGGCTAATCTACAGATGCAGATAGAATATAAAAACATAGTGCAGATAGAATATATATGTATATATATATATATGTCTATATATTTGTTTATGTACCTATTTATTTATGTAAATATATTCTTTATATATATATTTGTGAATATTTGTATAAAGTTTGTTAATAAACATTTAACTAGTTTGGTAAAACTAAAACATCACCGTTCCCCATCCATTACAAGGGTGAACCTGGAAGTCCAAAAGACAGAAAAACATATACCAACTCAGGTTGTAGCTGAGGTAAGCTTCAGAACAGCAGCATCTGTTGGCTTGAGACAGATCTCTTTAATGGTCGAATCTGCTTGCTCACGAATGTGTTCAATGGCCTTCTCGGTGTCATCAGTCTTCTCAGGATTGATTTCAGTCTCCTCTAGCAGAGCTAGCACAGCCCCAGGATCACGCACTTTTTCTTGAAGGACTTGAGATGCATGGTTCCACTGGGTAATGGCCATCTTGAGAACCTTCACATAGGCAAAGCCCACCTCCTCGCCAGTTTCGATGCGATCTGCCTCGGGCATAAGATTTGCTTGCTCCTCAAGAGCAATATATATCTTCATGTCCTTTGTGGGGTCAGTTTCTCCTTATATAGTCCCTATAAGTCCCAAAGCTGCACAAATGTTCCCAAAAGTCCGCATTCTAACTGTGCAGTGGCAGACCACCAATTGCCAGCAAAATCAGGAACATAAGCGTGCACTATATATATATAAGGTATGTATAGACATGTGAAGAAACACATACGTATCATCCGCACATACACACACACATATATATCTATATTTATTGGCAAACCAGTACCCGAGTATATAAGTGGCTGTGACAAACAGGATTTGACATAAGTATCCAACGCCAAGGAGCCACACACTCTGAAACCAAATCTTCAAAAGCCTTCGGGAGGATAGTTGCGCAGTTCTCATCTGTGGCGTGCGCGGGCTTTCGAGAAGCAAACTTCAAGGACTTACCCAAAAGCTTCCGCAGGACGTTGGGAAGCTCCTTGTGGGCTCCAGCAACCTTTGGACAAGCCGAGCAAAGGAGGTCCATTGTTCATTGCGACGGGCCTTGTTCCATTTGTACATGCAACACCTGTAATAGCCCGGCATGGATTCTACCTTCTTGACGGGGCTCGTGCGATTCGGGTCCTCCTTTGGCTTCTCATAGGCTTGCATCCTTATAGCAGCACGGTAAGTGGCCAATCAAAAATGAATAAGCCGATTCCTTTGTGCAATGAACAGAAATGTACAAACATGAAAGGACGGCATGGCATTCTAAGTGTGTATCTCTCTCCAATGCACAAAGAAAGTAATCTGTATTATATCAATTGTGCCACTATACATATATATATATATATACAAATCTGTTCCGAATTTAAATTCAAAGGAAACAGAATCGATGTTTGGCACTTAGAATGTTTGCATGAGCGATTGCCCAACTAAGCCTATGACAGCTGCTCCTTCTCCCAGATGGTAGCCACTTTGCTTTTGCCCTTCTTGTTCAAACGCCGGCGGTCTTTGAGCCCGCTTTCGCTTCAACTGTTGCTTTACACTCTTGGATTTCACAATGATCGATCGGTTTGGCAATCCATATTCAGGTGCAGGCTGCTTTTCACGGAGTCGCCGCTTGAGCGAAGGTCGCTTGGAAGTGTCATCCGAATCCACATCTCTTGACAGAAGTGTGTCCCAAGCAGCTGGAGCTGTTGCAAAGGAAGCCATGACGACAGCCTGGCAAACAGTGCTTGAGAAGCTGTTTCCGGCAATATCTTGTCCACAAGTCTTGAGGAGCTGGTTGTAGACATCATCTTTGAAGCAGCTTCGCCATAAGCCCTGTGCTTGAAGCAGGTCTTCAGTCGTCATGTATCTACCCAAACCTGCGGAGTAAATAGAATGCGTCGGTGTGATGCAGGGAAGTACATTGCGAGCAAATGCAATCCTCCCAATACTGCTGTTGCAATCCACAAACACATTGTTGTAATTGGCTAGGGCCTTGGCCTTTGCGACAACTTCACTGTGTCGACCATCACGCGGAGGCTCTTGTGGGAGATCACAAAAAACAGCTTCCAAGGGGAACTGAAATGTAGAGCGCATTGCTTGAAGGCACTCTGTCTAGTCAGCGGAGAAACTGCCTTCTTCCTGCCCAGCGATGAGTCTTGCCAACCCCCATACGCGTTTCCTCCTTTGCGGAAGAAGAAACTGCTGTGAGTCGAGGACAGTCCAAACCTCAGGTAGATGCAAAACAAAGGCATCCTTTATACGCATATCCCTTTGCCCCCGTATTTGTTTTGTCCCCGAGTCCTGTTGCCCCCGTATCACTTTTGTCCCCTTGTCCTTTTGTCCCTGTGAACAGAAGCATTCTAAGTGCAGCCACTGGACGAACTCATAGCCTAATTCGCGAAGGACCTTTTTTGCCACCTGCAAAGAGCGGTTTATTTGTTTTTTGAGATCCAGTACACGCAGAAACCCTGAAGGTTTCAATTATATACATATCCGAAATATTTCGACAAGCAAATTGAAACATGGAGGGGTCAGATCTTCATAAACATTAGAATTAGAGTAACGAAACACCCCCCAAGTATTCCTGTGTGAGCCAAGCCACTTCACTCGTGGCTTCCTCCATGGGAACGTCTTCATTTGGCTCCTGCCAAAACCGAAACAAAAAGGTTCACGAATTGGTTTTTGCTGCCTGTTAAGCCCTTCAAATCTTACAACTGTCCAGACTACATAAGATTTCCTTTGTTTACCCTGTATATAAATATGTACATGGTGCGCAGTAAAGTAAAAATATGTACCCATATATATATAGAGAGAGAGCCTTTCGTTTGATCTTGTTCTTCCCTACACGCGTTCCAACTGTGCTTTCCAGGCCACCTCAATCTGATTGGCAGGCTCTGATGTCTTGTCCATCTCTCTTGCCTGGTCGTCAGTCGGAACCTATAGATGTGGGGTGTTTGTTTGTGGATTTGGAAGTTACATGTGAAACTCGGGCAATATACTGAATATGCTGCCTGCGTTGCCTGCTTTTTGCAAATACACTCTTTTGCGCTGCTAATGACTCCACTCTACAACCTCTTGTATTCCTGTGTGAGCCAAGCCACTTCACTCGTGGTTTCCTCCATGGGAACGTCTTCATTTGCCTCCTGCCAAGCCCGAAACTAAAAGGTTCACGAATTGGTTTCGGGCGCCTGTTTAAGCTCTTCAAATCCTACAACTGTCCAGACTAGACAAGATTTCCTTTGTCTACCCATTATATATATACATGTTGCGTGCTCTGTATCAATTAAAATGTGAACCCATAAAACAGAGAGAGAGAGAGCCTTTCGTTTGATCCCATTCTTCCCTACAGGCATTCCAACTGTGCGCTCCATGTCTCTTGACCGGTCGTCAGTCGGAACCTGCGGATGTGGGGTGTTTGTTTGTGGATTTGGAACTTACATGTGAAACTCGGGAAATATACTGAATATGCTGCCTGCATTTGCCTAATACATTTTTTTGCGCTACTAATGACTCTACTCTACAACCTCTTGTGTTCCTGTGTGAGCCAAGCCACTGCACTCGTGGCTTCCTGCATGGGAACATGTGCATTTGGCTCCTGCCAAGTTGGAAGCTCTGTTTATGAACGCCAAAAACCGTTGGAAGCTTTTTTTGCAAGGCTTGTTTCGCGTTGCTTCTGAAGAGTCTTTAAGTTTCCTCTCTCTTTATATATATATATATACAAAGCCTAGAACTCCCTAAACTGCAAATGGACTTTATTTCTGCAACCTATACATCTAAAATCTCACATTCCAACTCAGCATTCCAGGCCACCTCAATCTGCTTGGCAGGCTCTGATGTCATGTTCTTCCCTTCGGAGTCCTCAGTCGGAGTTGGGGTCTACAGCATTTTTGTGGTGTCCTTTTCTCTTTGCATCACCTGTTCTATTCCCTAGGCCCTATGACGTATATTTATACTATATACTAGCGATGGCCTCCTACCTAGCAGCGATGGCCTCCAACTTACTACTAGCGATGGCCTCCTACCTAGTAGCGATGGCCTCCAACTTACTACTAGCGATGGCCTTCTACCTAGTAGCGATGGCCTCCAACTTACTACTAGCGATGGCCTCCTACATAGTAGCGATGGCCTCCAACTTATATGTACAAATATTGAGTTTATATATATATATACATTTGACCGGACTCCATATGCCTATACTCATAAAGCCCCAGCGCACACGAAGTCGATCGACAGTCCAAACTCTAGCGCTAGCCTGCCGCTAAAGATAAGGAAAAAGGGGAAAACAGCCGTGCCTCTTTTTACCCAGGGCTTCTCCGTCTGCGGGCGGTTCGAGCTGTGCTCCGTTGGGACTGGGATCACTGAAAAGGTGATCAAGTCTGACCTTTCTGGTTGGACTTCTCCTCAGTTGTCTTGCGAGTCCCGGAACCTCCCGCGCCCACTTGGTGCCTTACCTTGCGCGCTGTTGCTGGCTTGCTTGTGGTGGGAAATGAATGGTTTCTGGGATTTCCACGTTCCTTCGGGGAAATGAATGGTCTTCTCTGTCTCCACGTCCCACCACTTGCTTGCTGGCTTCGGTGCGCTTGGTTTGGCTCGGCCTTGTGGGTGGAAAGGGGAGCGCCCCCCGGCTGCGCCAGGTGTGTCACTGGTGCACTGGTGGAGGTAGAGCCAAGGGCTCCCTCCCAGTGTGCTAACACCTGGAGGCCAAAGCTCTCAAGCGGGATCTGAAGTCGGCTTTCAGGCGGAGTAGCAGAGGACCAGAGAGCTCCTTCTCAAAGCTCCGAAAGGGCTGCGAGCCCCTCATGCCTGGTACATGCCTCATGAGGTTCCAGGAGTGTTTAACACGCTCCTCCATCGCTGCCGAGGTTTTCACCAAGACGACCTAGAGCGGGCTGCCGACGCTGTTAGCCAAATGCCGCTGGGGCGCACCTGGTTTCGACCGGAAGGTGTCGTTGCCACGTCCTCTTTCGCCAGCGCGCTGCAAGCAACCTATAGTGACTTATCCAAAGTCGTTTTGGAGCTGCCCGAAGGGCTATTAATTGGTCTTGGCTGTGCAGCCACCAATCCTGACAGTCCACTGGACTTCCACACAGCGCAAAGCGCAGCTGAGCGATCCGGAGTTGCTGGACAACACCGCTGGAGTCTCATGCTGCCAACCAGTGCGCGGGTGGCCCAGGAGGTATATGAACCGCTCATAGGTATCCAGTACCCAATGCTGCGCAGCCGGCTAGGTGATACATGGCAATTGACTAGAGACATGCGTCTGATCTAGGTGACCAGCGTTCAATCCACACCAAGCGCGGATCTCCGTGCGCAAAGTGGTGTCGCGGACAAACAGGTTTTGACGGGTGGCACATCAAACCACGGACATGCGCAGAACGAGCATCCTCGCAAGGGGAGCAGGTTCTTGGGCGAGATCTGGGTCAACTTGTGGCAACCGGTAACATGCCAAGATACACCCTGTTTTGAAGCATAGACTTCCTTGTTACACGGACAAACCCTTATCTGGCAAGCCGTTTGGTTCCGGTGAACCACGTTCAGCCTCACGGTCATCCTCTTCGTGATAGATGGGTTGAGCATGCCAACAATTGTACCACAGTTGTTGAAAAGGGTTTTCAAAGGCAAAATGGCTTTAGCAAATCGTTCACACAGCAAAGGAGGGTACACAGCAGTGGAAGCCGTTCTCTCACCTTCGATGGGGATGTGGGATCCGTGTCCATGGTTACACTGCCTAGCCAGAGAAGTTCTGACTTCCGGTGAAGTAGAGATCCAACCAAAAGATTTCAAAACAGTCATCTGAGTTTTGGGATCTCTCATGCCATGACGACACCCTTCAACCCTGAAACGACCTCCACACCTACGGGTCACCATAGGCAAACAGGGTTCCTGCCAAGAAGTGGCCCTCAGGGGTTGTTCCAATCCTCCATCATGATCCAGACCCCCGTCACCCCCCATTTCATCCAATTGAATTTCCAAAAGAGAACAACAGTGTTTCAAAATCTTGCGAACCAGACCTTTCTTTTCTTCAAGTCGTTTCACCTGTTCCTGAGTTCTTTGATTGGCATTTTGCATAATGGAAAATGGAAAACAAGGAGGTGAACAATGAAGATATTTTGGTTTCAAGGTCCTGACCAAGTGTGCTGCTTTGTGATAACCCGCCTTAGTGGACAGGTCATATCCATTGTGAAGACCGATCCGGACGGCAGTGCCACCTGCTCGTTCAACGGCTGCCGACCTCCAAAAGATCACACCGAGTATGAGTGACATCCTCAAAACTGCGGACGGTGGCGCTCACAAAAAGGTCATGTTGCCTATCCAATTCAGCATGCATGTTGGCGGTGAGTCGGTGCTCCTCCCCAAGATC